CGTCCCCGCCTCCATTCCGCGAGGGGCAGAGGTCCCCCCGACCTCCTTCTCGCCCCTCTTTCTTTTTCGGTTGACCTTCAGGGGGGACATCTCCTCTTCCGGAAGCTCGGGAACCTCAAGCTCGGCAAGGTTGTAGCGGTGCTTTAGCTCCTTCCACTTATTCTTGCCAATTATGCCTACAATAATATTTAAATTATACATAAAAATAAGCAATAGTTGAACTTAATATTCAATTACAATAAACAATTTCTTACGAGCTCATTATATTTATCATTTTCAAATATAATTACCATTCCTACTTATTATCACAGTTACTGACACTATATATAACGTATCTTAATTAATAACCTTTAAATTATGAATAAAAATAAGTAATGATTAAAGTTAATACTCAATTATAAACTCTCCAAGATCAATACATTAGTCACTTCGACGTAAGACTCAAAGGGATTCATCACTTCTATTGTGTGGCTGTTGCATTCGTTGTAGATATGTTGCCACGTAGTAGCAACAGTGACAACCCATTTTCAGAATGTGTAGCCATAGAGATAATTAAGAGATATAGAATTGCTGAACAAAAAAACAAAAACAAGGGATCGCTAGACTTGACCGGCCGTTGACCAAACAATCCACGTCTTCTTTCATAATATTAATTATTCTGTAAAAATATGAGAAATATAAGGACCACTCAAAGGTTTATTTATCAAAATTAATTACATTATTACAATCATGTGGGAAAGCACAAAACACGTTCACATGCATAATTTCATCCTCCGAGTCAATAATTGTACATTTCATTCCTTTATACTACCAAAAAAAATTAATGAAATACACTATTAAATATATATCTATCTATTGAGTAAAATAAGTCTAAGTAGATCTCTCTATATATATATGAAGAGGCATCTGTTTATTCCTAGATAGACTTATTTCATTTAATAACTTATGTTCTACATCAAATTTTAACCATTCAATCATTGAATTTAAAGTTCTTAATATATAGATCAAGTCTGCAAATTTTTAGAAAATTTAAAAATTATTTGATATTTTATTTTATTAATTCAAATCAATATATAAAATGATTTTATAATTATTTGTCAATTTGAATTAATGAAATGAAGTATCAAATAATTTTTATATTTTCTAAAAATTTGCAAGCTTAATCTATATATTAAGAACTTTAAATTCAATGATCGGATCGTTGAAATTTGATATATAACATGAGTTATTGAACAGAGTAAGTCTAGATAAACTTACTCCTAAAATAAACAGACTCTTCCTCATATATATATATATATATTAATTTTTTTGAGATATATATGGTAAACGACGTAAAATAAATATAAGATAATACACATGTATGTATGTGAATCAAAAGCATCCATTAATTAATTTGAGCAGAACAATACAAAAATAACAAGAGTTTTGAAATAGGAATTAATAATTATTTGACAGTAACCACATTCTCTAGCTCTATAAATTTGGCATCATTCTTGCTCGCTTTGCAGCAATTCCAGTGACTCTTGGTATCTGAGCAATTTGCAAGCACAAACCATTACTTGCACTTGCTCATTAATCATATTACCCATCATGGTTCGTGCATTGGGAAACCTTACACCTAGAATCTTTCTTCAATCACTGAATTCCATATCTCGCCAAGCTACATCTTCGCTCAAGTATCTACTTTCTTCTTTTACTATTGTCTCTTTATTGCATCTATTTTCCAGCCATTAATGTTTCTGAAACTATTTTTTAACTTTAAGTTAAACTCCATGAATATCATACATATATATATATCACCATATATGAAGAAATTAGTTTTCTAGGAAGAGAGTGTATAGTTAAAACACTCTTTACAGTTTTTACATGCATAATTCTCAGTCGCCTTAGCCAGATGTTCTGCATTTATAGAGATCTTCATCCCACATAAAATAAAACTTGAACTATGAAGTATTGAACTGAAATGATTGTTGTCTTAACTCATCATTCTGCATATTACACAAACATACATCATAACTACTAAGATCGATTTAATGATACAGGAGTTGAGGTAATATACATAAGATCATACATTCTAACTTGTAGATCTTCGGCACATAAAGTGAAACTTGAATTACGAACTGATGACATGATATTGTTGTTAGAATAAGCGGAGGAGCAAGAGTATCAGATCACAGCCCTGGAAAAACTGATGACAGAGGAGTGTCAGATGACGCCACTCAGGGGAGCGGCGGAAAAAGTAATCGTGTGGGGCAATGAAGAATTCAGAATGATAGCAGTTAGCAATTTAGAAAGCTGCTTTAAGACTAGTGATTTTGAGTGTTCGTGATTATGAGTGATTTGGTAGCATGCATAAGACAGTAGTATGAGTGATTTTGCTTTTTTTGTTTTGAGTAAATATATATGAGTGATTTGGTAGCATGAATAAGACAGTAGTATGATGAGTGATTTTGCTTTTTTTGTTTTGGGCAAATATATGTGTGTGATTTGGTATCATAAGACAGTAGTATGAGTCGTTTTGCTTTCTTTTGTTTTGGCTAAATATATATATGAGTGATTTTGCTTTGTGCTTCATTACGTGCACCTGTTTGGTTTTCTGCTGCAATTACCTTTTCAGATGAAAAATGAAGTTTTACTGTACCAATTCATCATGCTTGACAATTTTCTTATATTCTTCAAATCCAAATAAAGCGGTACGTTCCCTTGTTTAAAATGTTTTTCAGAGTTAAAATATGAAAGTATATAATTAACAGAATGTAAATTCACCATTATTTTCATAAGAAGGTTCTTCCATTGTACCTCAACTTAAAGGTTGAGAAAACAAAAACTAGCTTTCAGAAAACATTTAAATCATTTCACCCGTACGTCCTGTTAATTTTTAAACTCTTGTACAGGTAAACTTAATCATGTATCTTTTTCTATGTCCTTTTTAATTAATTCATGTTTGACCCGTACAAGCCTATTTGTTAATCAAGTCAAATGCACACTAGTTTGGACTGAACAATATTTTTAATTATATGAATTAATATAGATTGGAGGGTTCAATCATAAGATTTTTTTATAATCAAAATATATTTATTGTAATTGGGTTAACAATCACACACAAGCAGTACCACATATGACATACACTACCTGATAATAAATGCATGACAAACAAACAGGCCAGATTCCAGAACTGCTACTATCCAACAAAACAATGCAAAAGCTGAGAAAAAGACGCAGGGCATCACATGGTTGTAGTCCCCATAGTTGTCTGTCCATATGGTAAAAACCACATGAAGCTAGCATTCACAAGCACACTCATGGTTTCCTTCTTATGTATTATAGTAACTAAAATGAAATTTAAATTTGATTATATGACAAACTTGATAATGAAATTAATAAAATGTGTTTTTGGAGATTCAAAGATTGTAAATTACTTATTTTGCAGCAGATTCAAGTAAGGTTATTTCTTAGTCTTGTTTTTGACCTACCTTTCAAGACATCGCAAGCGGACATAACATTGATTAAAAGACAACATGAATGTAGAAAAAGATGATAATGTATATTACGTTGCAAAAATCATTTGGGCATGTAAGAAATTAAAACCTATTGCTGTATCAGGACTTTCAAGTCGTTATTGGTGGCTTTTCTCTACGGAAGGAACATATCCACACAAAAACATCATCTCGATCGAGGATTAATTAATATGAGTTGACAATGGGCTTGCAATGAAACAAAACCAATTAGTACCAATATGATTATTAATTAATTAATTAAAATTGTTAACTTGTACTAACTCTTTGATGTAACTAGGTAAAAATGATTTTTTTAGTCATGCATCTAACTTTGAATGAAACTCCAGGCTTCTTCTTCTTTTTATTTTTTTATCGACAAAAGAAACATATATTATTAAAAAGGTACAAAGGGTACAAACACTCATATACATAGCATACAACAGATCATAATATATATTTATTCTTCATCACGTGAGTCAGAGACCAAAATAAACTGTACTACCTTGGAAACCAAATTACATCCCCACATGTTGTTGCTATTGATTCTACTATGCCCCTTATCAAATATTTATAAAGTTTCTACATGATTAAATATTTCATATATAAATATCATTTTTAAAAACCTGAATTGCTGATATTTGACAAAGTTATAAAAAAAAACAAAAAAAAACACGTTTAGTAAGGAAACTGTTGTTTTATAAACATTTTGCGCGTTGTATATATATTGTTAAATAAAGATAAAAGTAATAGGATTTTAAAGACTTTCAAATCCTAAAACAATTATAATAATATATATAAAATTCATATTAAAAATGAATATTTAATATTATAATTAAAATGTGTAATATTTATTTAAAGGAAATAACAAAAACAATTCATTAAAAGTTGAGAAGACTTTTTTTTAACTTACTAAACAAAACAAAAATATCAGAGTATTCAATAATTAAATTTATTAAAAATATTAAAAGAATATATTAAGTAGAGATAAATCTAGGTATTTTACACGGTTCAATCAAATAAAATTGGTGTAATTTTTAATACACACTTCAATAATTTTAAATTAAATGTGAAATTTTCAAAACTTATCATTAGATTAAAAAAAATTTACTCCTAAATTATATATATATATATATATATATAATTTTATAC